TTGTAACGTAGAATGGAGAAGTGGTTACGAATGGTCGGTTGGAAAATTTGTCGCCTGTTTTGAGAGACTGTCGATGTATTTAAGATATTGAAGGAAACAACCGGAAATTTCATTTAGAATATTTTGAATATCAAACACAAATGGTAAACCAAGTGACTACAACGACCGGAAAAGGTTTTGGGCGTTCCTCAATTGAGAATAGACCCGGATTGTTCCTTTTATAACCGTTGTTAATTTATGATAGCTTTTTCGTTTTTTTTATAATAACCTTGCCTTTATAACGCTTCACGGAAAGCCTGGAAAGTTTCTGAAATTGGAAATAAATTAAGATTGACAACTAACACGGCGAGATTTCAGGTTCCCACAGCGGCGAGTATGGTGAATTTGTGCTATCGTTATGGAACCTGCTAGTTGCGGATGGCTGTCACGTGATATATTACGCCGTGCATTACGGTTGAAGTTTTTAAAGATGGTGTCGATAGGTGTTTAGATTTCTTATATTGGTAGTTTTATTCCGGGAAATATCCGGCACGCAAAATGTTAACAAGATTTTAGGTCTACCATTTTCCACTGTTGAGCTAATGTAAAACAAATACACGTTTAATGAAACTTGTAAAAAAATACATTTTTTATCGACCACGCCTCTGAGTGTGTGCTCAGTTCCACGCGTACAAAGCTGTTCACAGGAAGTATGTGATACGAGACGTAATCACGCAATATTTCTGCGTTATAAATGGAGGGTAGTAATTATCGATTACTAAGTTTACAACTAACTGTATACAATTGTATTTCTCTTTCGATTATTCTTCGTGTTTCACAGAAACAAGACTGAAATAATTGTACTAATTAATCGATCGATTTTTTGACGACTTCGAGATGTGATCGATCAGTCGACATTGGGCTACTTTAATGGCTGCCAGATATCACTGACTGCTGTGTTGATCCTGATTTTGTGAGCTGATATCGTGTGGAAGTGGTCTGTGTTGCCGGGTTGCTTGGGTTATTTTGCGACGCTTTGTCAAGTGAATAAGTTAGGAAGGTGCGATACTTGTGTGTTTGAAGATACTATATCAGCGTATACCTAGAGGTAAGCCTTTAGTAGGCCTGTTGAGAAGTATGAAAATCTCGAATCTAGGTAGTCGATCTATCGAATTAGACAATGGAGAAATAAGCACTGAATACTGATGTTCCGTCACATAGGACAGTTTCGTGTCAATTTTTAAGCATCTATTTTGAAGTTTTGTAATTTATTTTGTGTATATGTATGCATTCTTAGTAGACAAAACCTTATTATATACACGTGCCGTTTATGCCCACCCCAGTCCCAGTGGACATCTCATGGTGCACGGACGGAAAGACACGTGTTAGACGCCAATGTTTTCTTTAACGTATTAATCTTTTTTCTCTGTTCGCCCATTTTAAACTTTCTAGTGTTTCAAAATATATAACGTATCTCGTTTAAAGAACCCTTATGATGGGGCAGACACACACAACTCCTTACTGTCAAAATATTCATCACTCTAGAGCAGTGGTATTCAACCTGGGGTACGCGTACCCCTGGGGGTACGCGAAGACATCTTAGGGAGTACGTGAAATTTAAAAAAAATATATATTATTTTATGATAAACACTGAATAATCAGTAATGTAATTTATTTAATTTATTTTAGATGTAGATTATATACTATGTATAACTTGAATTATACACCAACAACTTTGGGGGTACAAAGTTGAAGAGAAATTATATCTGAGAGTACGCGAAGACATCTTAGGGGGTACGTGAAATTTAAAAAAAAAATATATTATTTTATGATAAACACTGAATAATCAGTAATGTAATTTATTTAATTTATTTTAGATGTAGATTATATACTATGTATAACTTGAATTATACACCAATTACTTTGGGAGTAGAAAATTGAAGAGAAATTATATCTGGGGGTACGCGAAGACATCTTAAGGGGTACGTGAAATTTTAAAAAAATATGTATTATTTTATGATAAACACTGAATAATCAGTAATGGAATTTATTTAATTTATTTTAGATGTAGATTATATACTATGTATAACTTGAATTATACACCAACAACTTTAGGGGTACAAAATTGAAGAGAAATGATATCTGGGGGTACGCGAACGAAAAAGGTTGAATACCACTGGTCTAGAGCATCAGTCAAACTTAACAACTGTAAAAATAATTTGAATTTAAAAACAGAGTTATAGAATTAGCATAGAAACAAAAAAAATCAGGAAAAATTACTTAAAGATAAGAAAACAACATAACAAATATTAAGCAATATATAAGTAATATATTTTCGCATGAGGAAGCCAAATAAAATAATAGGCTAAGAAGAGAAATATTCGCGACTGGGGAACATTAAAACCAGTTGTAGTACCTGATGATGATATATCGATTATAGTTTCCAAAATACAAGGGATTCATTTCTGAATCTATTGTAACTTAATGAACTGACAGGTGCCCTAACTGATAGCACCGGAGCTACCCTATTGGCCTTAACACGATCAATTAGACACTAAATAACAGACGAAACGATCGATGTGTTATAACGGCAGGCAGAAGGGGTGGAGTCCCAGACGAAGTCTGTCTTATAATCTATTCTCCGAAATACGTGTATGTACTAAAAGCCCATAAATTTTAATAGGAGGGTAGCAGAAGCCAGGTTTTGATACAGTTCCATCCGAATATAATCTGGACATTGAGTCACAGAAATTAGAGTATGTATTTTTCAATTCAATTCAATTCAATTCAATTCAATTCTTTTTATTAGAGTGCTTAAAAATAAAATTAATTTCTTTTTTCAGTGACTCCATCTCCGTCACAAGGATCAATTGGTAACTGCTGTTTAGGAGAAAATTCGTTGATAATTTTGATAATTACAAAGAAACTTATAAATACGCTGTGTGGATATAATGTAGAAGTTTCATATATCTTTTTTTTTTTAGAACTTTCTTTTACAAATTGCAAAGACAGTCATTAATGTTACTCATATTTGGTTTATGTATTCAAAAATCCGTGCTGATATTCGCCCCTTCAATCATCCGCAAAATTCAATCAAATGATTTGTATTTGTTGAATTTGGGGTTTTCACAGTCGCAAATACTAAGACTCTTCTGGGTTGTAGCATCATGTAGTCTGGTAGAAGTTTCTCGACGTTTCCGATATACTTGCTGCTTTTTTCAGCAGGGTGACTAACTAACTAACTAACTAGATGGCTTACCGAACCCGAAGGTTCATCACCGAACTAACCAAAGCCCTCCACCGGACTCCTTCCTGGGCCAACAAAATCCAGTCTCCTTCAACTCCTTTCTCCCATAGATCGCGCCTGAGATTATCCTCCCATCTACGTCTAGGTCTCCCCAGCGGTCTCTTCCCCTCAGGCTTCCAAACCAACACCCGGTGCACACCTCTTGTCCCATCCATGCACGCTACATGCCCCGCCCATCTCATTCTTCTCGACTTAATCACCCTGACAATACTGGGGGAGCAGTACAGATTTTTAAGCTCATCATTATGCAGTTTTCTCCACGCCCCATCGTCTTCCCTCTTAGGCCCAAATATCCTCCTCAACACCCGATTCTCAAACACCTGCAATCTGTGTTCCTCCCTCTGAGTGAGAGACCATGTTTCGCACCCATACAAAACAACAGGCAAGATTATTGTTTTGTATACTTTAATCTTCAGGTTCTTAGAAATCAGATGGGAAGACAAAATATTTTGAACTGAGAAGTAGCAAGCATTTCCAGAATTTAATCTCCTCCTAACTTCTTCATGAGTTTCATTTTGATTTGTTTTTGTTGTTCTCAAATATTTGAACTTTGTAACACTTTCAAAGGATTTATTAGCCACCCTAAGTTAATTCTGCCCGCCTGTCTTCTGATGACGAGATACTAACATGTTCTTAGTTTTTTCTGAATTTACTTCCAGCCCCACTTGTCTACTAGCCTCTAGTAAAACTTCTGCGTTCCTCTTTATTGTATTCATATCGTGACAAGGTGACAGCTATTTTTAATTGACTTATCAGCACAAACAAATTTTCTTGCTACTTATAAATCCGAACTTCGCTGAGATATTTTTAATTCACTTTACAACATTTACTTTGCTGTAGACTCATTTGTTATAGCCTATTTTAAGAAATATGTGCTACTTTACGAAGAGTCAGTTCACAGATGAAAAATTAAACACGCGTTAGACCAGAGGAGTAAACGTGAAATGTTTTGAAATATTATCTAGATTTTTGCTTTGAGAGACACCGAGGAGAATTGAGCTGACAAGACTGCTTGAGGTTTGGTGCTGGATTGTGTCAAGCGTATGTCAGACGAAGTTATTGGCTCAGTCACATACACTGAATAATAAAATTTGCGTTAAAAGCTGTAATAAGAATGGACTACGTAAGCGACTAGTGGTGGCATTTGGCTGTTCTCTTACAAACTAAGATGTTTTTTCAAGCACTACAAAAATAGTACAGTAAACTAAAGAAGTGTCTTAACTTCAGGATCGCACATTACAAACGACTATCTGAGACGTAATGTAGACTGAAGAGTCATTTTAAAATAGAGGACAACATATTTAATAAATTTTCTTCAATCTTAACATCAGACATCGTAGCCGAGTAGCGAACTCTGCTAATTTTTATGCGGTTAAAATCTGAATCAGAAGACCGAGATATTTTGTGTTTTTCCTCAGTTTCTCTAAGAGAATCCTGAGATAGGACCTTAAATTACACCACGAAAGCATCCATACACATTATTTTGAATTCATTGTTTATTAAACATCCTTCGGCGCTGTGTGGTCGAGGTGTTTAAACAACTGTGTAACTTTTTTCACTGAAGTAACACTTTTAAATCATACGAAATTAAATTTATACTTCCCTTCATATCTTACGTACATATTAACGTAACAATCGGATATCAAGATTAAAATCGATATTTATATGTATCATAATATGCTTGATTTATCTTATTTATTAAAAATTGTTTCAGATTATTATTGTGCCAGCAAGGGTGGAAGATCATTCTAGATTGGTTCTTCGAAACCCTAAAATGCACCAATACTATGGTGAGTTTGCTATAAACATATTTTTAACATTGTTATATTTTGAATAATTTCTCGATGCACTTAATCAGTGTTTGTGGCTATTTAAAATTCTGTTTGTACTCCATCACCTGCGTTGTTTGTCACGTAATATATTATTCGAAAACGTATCTCACTACCACACAGTATAATTCTTCTCTTTGTAAGTTATAAATACTCCTCTACAATTCTGGATTAAAGCCCCTGGCATGATCCCACTCAGAAATATATCTGAAGCTATAAATATTTTATATGCCAACTGTCTCGGCGGAATGTTTAGAGTTGCTGCTTCGTAATCGGTAGATCGCAGGTTTAAATATTGTTCCGGCGACAAGCTATTATAATTAGTCTTTCGTTGTATTTCTTAGTAATTTCATGCGAATGTCGTTATGGAAACTTTAACTAGACCAAGACCAATTTCTTTCGTGTTATTTACAATTCACTGTTCTTCTATCACTCGTCTGAATAAACTACAAATGAACGAATTTTTATACGTGGAATATGATTTCTTTGACTGGTATCGCAAGGCAACAGAATAAAAAAAAAAAAATACTACGTACATTCAAATCTCAAGCAGAATTTAGCTCGTTTCCCCATTGGTTAGTGATTTAAGACCGTATAAATGTGGTTCCATAGTATTTCATTCTATTAAATCATATACTTTTGAATATATATTAGAAAAAAATATGGTTTTATAAATATGGATGTCTTCTGGGTTGTTGCGCTGTGTGGTCTGTTAGAAGTTTATCGACGTTTCAGAGGTTATATCAGTTTACAAGGCACAAAAACCTCAGAAGTCTACCATCTTCACACTTGCCGCCTAAAAAACCAGACATCTCGCTTAATTGTAATCGTAGATGTATGCGTAAGGACATACAATGTTCTATTTAGACGAGCTGATTTAATTTAGTCTTTTGCCCACTAGAAAACAGTTTGGCCTCAAAGTTATGATACAGTTAAAAAGAGTTGCTTTTTAGTAAATATTAGTGTTAGACACATAAATGAAACGCGATACTTAACATTCTGTAGAAGTTTATTTTATATCGTTTTGTATTCTCATCAGCTTTTCAATTCACGTCGCAACTGAGTAAAAACATTTGGAGTTGTACTTAGAAATTCTTATGATTCTCAGACTTAAATTGTTAGTGTTGTCTGTCCTTCACTTAGGAGTACGTAAAATCTTACAGGTTCGACATGATGAAATTTAAAACTTTCCTGATTGTTCATGTAGACGTCCATGAAGAATTGTAGTTAAAAAGACGGGATTCATTACTTATTTTACGTTTGTGGTAACGAGATTGTTAGTGAAAATTTCTGCATGCATCTAAGGGAGACGCTTTGAAATAAGAGGCTCGAAACCTTTGCCACTTGATATCTAGGTCTTACTCAGTTGCTTTCACAACTGAGATCAGATAAATAAAATCGTGTGGGGACTGGAACGGATTATTTGAAGCGAGGAATCTGAGATTAAGTTCAGGTCGTAAACTTTTGTCAGTATCACTCGGACATCGGAAGAATTAAAATACAAAATGGACGTTTGCGACGAACGGAGCTGACATAAATTTTACTAATATAGGTAAACGATTACATCATAGGTTGAATTACATGTAATAAAATAATCAAACTACATAAAATCAACTATTTTTAATTATGGGTATAATTTAATGTAAATATTTATTATAATATATACCATAAGAATAAATTCAAATTTATATAATAAAAATTCATATAAATAAATACTCTTAACATTCATATTACTAGCATTAATTATCATAAAGGTATGAATGGGATTATAAAAATTCCCTTGACAGTTTCTGTTAGGAAAACTCATCTATACGTAGGCCTGTCTATATTGCTTAAATGCTATTTTCAAAATAGATCGGTGTTCCAGGCATTCACATGAATTCTAAAATTAGATCATCATGTCCATGGTAGCTAAAAATGTCTTCAGAGGTGACTTCCTAGGTATAATTTGATTTTCAGATCATAAAACGACAACTTTTAGTTTGTTTTTTATATTGCGAGGAATAGCAAGAAGATATTAAATTAACAAGTTAAATAGGATGTGAAATAAACTGTCGTGGCCTATTATAATACAGTATCTCAAAATCTCCCTAGAGTGATTAAGGAAAACCACAAAGTTTTCAGTCTGGATAATTGGTTTTAGGACAGAGAATCTAAGCCCGCAACCCCGAATATGGAGAAGTCAACAGTAACTTCATAAGATTTTGAGGGAAATGTTCTTTAATTTAATATCCATATATATTATAAGATGGTAAAGTTGCGTCATATTGTGATATAATAAGTATATATTAAATCTTGTCCGTCTAATCACAATAAATTCTTATTAAATATTAAAATATTACAATAATTAACATTTAAAATATTTAAAATATTAAATGACGTTCTTTATCAAAATATTCGAAAAATGATGGTCTAATGTAAATCGAATATTTCGATAAAGAACATCATTTAATATTTTTAAATATTTTAAATGTTAATTATTGTAATATTTTAATATTTAATAAGAATTTATTGTGATTAGACGGACAAGATTTAATATATACTTAATATATCCATATATATTGTTACAGCTACTTTACTGTGGTATTAAAATTAAATGTGTTTATGTACAACATACTTAAGATTAAAGATTAAAGAAACAAATTTAGCCGGAGATTCCATCAAGAACGATTTGGAAAATATCCTATAGATTATTTAGGATATTGTATTTTCGATTAGCGAATATAGAAGAATGGTTATTATGTTGGGGATAAAAGACACGTTTTTGTCAGTCATGCTTATCGCCTTCAGTTCAGACAAAGAAGTATAATCTACGTTGCTTTATTTTATTTATTGTCTCATATGGAATTGTACATTTTAATGTGTCTGCAACTCACCAAATAATCAAACCAGGAAACAGTGCGAAATAGACCCTAATGTCCAAATACGAAACAAAATATCAGGTCCATTTCAGTAAACTAATAAGCTCTCAGACGGATGGTTACACGGCCAAAGTTATATGATCAGGACATTTCTTTTACGACAAAGATACTCACAGGTTTAATGCTGATACTCTCACTAAAGATCCGATTTAGCAATAAAACCATTATTTATACTATTTTTTCTTCGGGTATGTCCAAATGTAAGTACGAATTTCAGTTATTGTGGAGCTGCTTCTCGTCACATAAGGTGCTTTAAGTGATGACTTCCGTGGTCAATGCTCGTAAGTTGCAAATATGTATTATAAAGGTTGCAGGATCCTGGCGAATATCTTCTTAGGGATCCTCGATAGTTAAGAGGCTTCTAGTGTTCTACGTACATTGGTGACAATAAAATTTAAAGAAGACTGCAGTCTTCTGGGTTGTAGCCCTGATGATGGAGGCAGTATGACCTCTGAAACGTTGGTAAACATCGACCATACTACACAGCGCAACAACCCAGAAGACAGTCATCTTCAAACTCACACCGTGAGAAATTAATCAGAATTACAGTAAAGTTGCAAGAAATATGTTACATTTAGAACGGAATACAAAAGAACATCATCTGATATCTGGTAAAAATCTGATAAAAATGCACGCTAGCATAATGTATGAAAATTGTATTTGAATTATTTATCGTTTTGAAGCTTTATATAATTATATACACCTGAGGATGGTTCTTTTAGGAACTGAAACATGTCGTGAAACATGAAAAATGATGATCTAATGTAAATCGAATATTTCGATAAAGAAAATCATTTAATATTTTAAATATTTTAAATGTTAATTATTGTAATATTTTAATATTTAATAATAATTATTGTGATTAGACGGACAAGATTTAATATATACTTATTATATCACAATATGACGCAACTTTACCATCTTATAAATTATTCATATAAAAATTAAATGCAATTATAATTGATCATATGTTGACTGATGGGAATTCGTGCATGAACTATATGAGTATTTATTCTAATGTTTTAATTTTGGGATCGCACGGTTATAAATAGATGGAAGCTTTTCTTTAAATGGACCATACAAAAGTACAGTGTGTGTGTTTGTTTGTTTGAGAGAGCTGGATTCATCTGGCTGAGGATAGGAACAGATGGCGAGCTTTTGAGAATACTGCGATGTACCATTTGATTCTGTAAACGACAGGAAATTTATTGACCAGCTAAGTAACTATCAAATCTAAAACTTCTTGACGATGGTGAAGAGTCAATTGAATAAAAATTTACTTGGATATTATCCATCGTCTAGTAAATATAAAACGTAAAACGACGTTTCGGAGATGGGACTCTATCTCCGTCTTCAGGTTCCTACA